GCTCCTTGTCACTCTGGCACCAGTCCCGAGCCACAGAGAATACCTCCGAGCACCTCAGAGCTGCCCACTTAAGCTTCCCAGCTGCCCTGCTCCCCTCGCCTTCCTGCCCTGGCTCTGCTGTGTTTCCACATTCACCCATTGCCTTTTAACTAAATGTGATCTTCTGACACCAACTCTGAAGCTTTGAGGGATTCTGGCAGAATCTCCTCTGTCCCCCTCAGTGTGCCCGTCCAGGCAGGAGTCCCTGTCACTCACCTGTAGCGCACCTGCTCCACAGTGTCATGGGTGAGCTTGCTGCTGATGTTCTGGCTGTGAGGATTACCTGGCAGGTTACAAAGATAAAGCCATCAAGCCACTACTTATGGCCTCTTCTTTTGTGTTCCTTCCAAAGCTACTCCCTCAGTTTCTCGAAAAGCTGTACATAAAACTACCAGATGACCCAGCAATTCCACTCCTATGTATCCCCCCAAAAGAAATGAAATCCTAGGTGCACAAAAACAGTTAAACATGCATGTTCATAGCAGCTTTATCTATAAAGCCAAATTTTGGAAACATAAATATCTATCAACTGGTAAACAGACAAAATATGGTAGACAGCCATAAAATTGAAAAATGTTTGGCAATAAAAAGGAACAAACGACTGGCCATGTCATGAAAGAGCTTCAACAACATGCCAGATGAAAGCCTCCGTTCACAAGAGACCGCACAGTGCATGGATCTATTTACATGAAATTCCCAGCCAGGACAATTATCTTGAGATACAGAAAGGAGTAGATTAGTGGTGCCTGGGACTACGGGTGGCCATGGGAAGAACTGTAAATGGTCATGAGAGATCTTAATGTCTAAGTGATTTATGGTGATGGCTGCACCATTTGGTAAATTACTAAAAATCATTGTACACCTGAAATAGAATTTTACACTATGTAAAATATAACTCAATAAAACTGTCAAAACAATAAAACCCCTTCCCTTACTAGTAAACTAAGATGCAATGCTAGAAGAGTATTTTGGAGCAGGAAGTGAGCGCAGAGGCAGGCCAGGGTGAGAGCCTGTGCCATGAGTTCCTGACAGGTGGCCAGTGGCTCCGTTAATTACTCCAGAAAATCCAGTACACACCTTCAGGGAGTGCCCTTTACCCCAACCATGGGGCAGAGCCATGAACACCACTTGATCTGAGTCTCTATCTATTGCCCTACAGATCTCAACGCCGCCACTGGCACCATTCCCTCAGAAATACATCCATCTCCTGCTTGTGAAGGGCACCATCCTGTCTCCTTGTACCACCCACTCTCAAGGACAAAGGCCCTCCCAATTTCACCCTTCTACTTGTTGACTTCTCTATTTTTTTTCTTTTTTTTAGAGACAAAGTCTCACTTTGTCACCTCAGTAAAGTGCCATGACATCACAGCTCACAGCAACCTCCAGCTCTTGGGCTTAAGCCTCCTGAGTAGCTAGGACTATAGGCGCCTGCCACAATGCCCAGCCCAGCTATTTTTTGTTGCAGTTTGGCCAGGGCCGGGTTCAAATCCCCCACCCTCAGTATATGGGGCGGGTACCCTACCCACTGAGCCACAGGTGCTGCCCCTCTTGTTGACTTCTAGTTTTCCTCTCCTTCTGATGTCCCTACTGAGTGTGTCCCAGAGTATCATGAACTCTCTCAAAACTCAGCCCCCAACAGACCTCTGTAGGGCTGGGCCGGCAAAGGCCAGGCTCCAGCACCTCTTGGGAGTTACATGTGCACATTAACGGAGGCCTGGCCGTTTTTGTTTTAGATCACATTGGTTTCTGGCCACTGCAGCTATCAGACATTCCCTCTCCACATTGCTAGTAACCACGCACTCATCCTGACTGCCTCTCCTGTTTGGTTTTCAGCTCTGTGTCACTGGATGACCTGCAATTTTGGCTGTGTTATCTCTTGGGCTGACACCTTTCCCACGGTTATGACTCTTACAAAAGTCAAAGAAGGAGAATTGCAGGTCTCTTTGCAAATCATGGATTAAAATCAAGATAAAGTTCCTCCAGAAGACTGTTGCCCAGATTTGCACATCTGCTGGCTGCCCAGAGCCAAGATTCAAGGCCCTTAGTGTGGCATAACAGGACTGTCAGGGATCAAGCCCTCTGGTGGGGGGCTGACGTGGAGGGTGAGTACTTGGGCTCTGGAGCCAAACCACCTGGAGACTCAGCTCCCAGCTCCCCCCAGCTTCCGTACTTGCTAGTTACCTACCCTCTCCGGGGCCCCATTTCCTTACCTGTAAAACAAGAGTGATGCCAGAACCTCCGGGGTTATTGTAAGGATGAAGAGACATAATATGTGCAAAGCATTTGGAAGAGTACCTGACACATAGTGAGTAACTGGTGAATGTTATTTATGGCTATCGTCATTATAAATATTACGACTGCTACTGCCGCTATAATTTCAAACTCCCTTTCCAAGTATCTCCTGATCGTGTTATATTGCTGATTAACAACCTCCATGACTATCCGTTGTTCCTATTATAGAATACAGATCAAACTCTGAGCATCTACAAACCTCTGCATGGGCTTCCCCCACCACATTCAGATCCACTCCCTTTCCTGACCTCCTTCTGCGCTCCTGGACTATTTCTTGAAACTACTATGGTATCTTTGCTCATATGGTCACTACTACCTGCCTATACTTCTCCTCTTGTCCAAAGGAACCCAGCTCAGCCTCCAGCATTCACTCCAAAGGAAGCTCTGCCTGATACCCATACCAACCCCACTGCCTCTGCAAACGCAAGCTGCCCTGGCACCAAGCACTTTTTGTTCATAGCCCTTCACATGTTGGTAATTACATTTAACTGGAAATCACTTAACTAGACCACAGTCTCCATGAAGAAAAGGACTACGTCCCTTTTGCTCACATTGCAGCACTGAGCCCACACACAGCATAGTGGCTCAATAAACAGTCACAGGGCAAATGAATGAGTGAGTGAGTGAGTGAATGTTCCTCCTGTTGCCCCTTGCTCTGCACCGTATAGGATCACTTACCACCATCAAACACAGCACCTTTGAACTTTGAACTTCTCTGCCCCTTTCTGACACTGAACCCTCCTTCTGGAAGTAACTCCTTCTTCTGGAAGTGTCCCTCAGCCACTCTTTCTGTCCTGGCCACATGTGTATGATACAGAATGACCCAGGGTGCCTGCCTGGCCCCCATCTACACAGGCACTCATTCTTGCTGCCTTGGGGTCTTATTCAGCTGTGTGTGCTCAGTACAGTCCCTATCTATTCATCCAACATTGATTAAACATGGATATATCAGCTGCATGAAGTTGGCTAAAATCCGTTTTGGTGGGGATTAGACTTTTTTATTTTTTTATTTTTGCAGTTTTTGGCCGGGGCTGGGTTTGAACCTGTCACCTCTGGCATATGGGGCCAGCACCTGAAACTCTTGGGCTTAAGCGATTCTCTTGCCTCAGCCTTCCAAGTACCTGGGACTACAGGTGCCCACCACAATGCCCAGCTATTTTCTTGTTGCAGTTGTCATTGTTGTTTAGCTGGCCCAGGCCCGGCTTGAACCTGTCAGCCTTGGTGCATGTGGCTGGCGCCATAACCACTGTTCTACAGGCGCCGAGCCTGGTGGGGGTTTCTTTTTGAGGCAGTCTCACTCTGTTGCCCTAGGTAGAGTGCAATAGCATCATAGGTCACCGCAACCTCAAACCTGGGGCTTGAGCAATCTTTTTGCCTCAGCCTCCCAAATAGCTGGGACTACAGGTGCCTGTCACAACACTCAGCCAGTTTTTCTATTTTCAGTAGAGACCAGGTATCGCTTTTGCTCAGGCTGGTCTCAAAATCTACCCGCCTCAGGTAATCCACCTGCCTCAGCCTCCCAGAGTGCTAGGATCACAGCAGTGAGCCACTGCACCCAGCCCCGTGTGTTCTTCTTTACCATAAACATTTTCCATCAGATCACGAGTGAAGTTTTCAAGCTGGCTCTTGGGGAACAAGGTGGCTCCTGCATGATCAAGGTAGACAGTTCCTAAAAGAAAAAAGAAAGCTGAAGGTTGTTTTTCGTAGGTATTCCAGTCCTTCAACCTAAATCTGGTTTGTATGAGCCCTACCAATGCCCATTTAACGTGTGTAGATGTAACACCAGGCCACTGGGTTCTCTGAGCCTCTTGACATGTGCTTCTTAATCCAAGAGAGGTATGAGCCCTGGAAGAACGCAATTACCACGTTTAGGGGCCTTTCAAGTCCGGAGAAAGCCTTCCTGATTAACCCAGCTCTTTCACTTTCACTCTCTTGCGCATTAGAACAGAGTCCAATACAGAGGAGGCACCCAGCAGATGTTTGTGATGAACGATGGCGAAGCTGTTACACACTGTGACTCACACCCTGCTCTGGAGGTTCCGTGTGGCTTCCCTGAGGGTGAGCACTGATCCTGCTTTCCCACACTGCGATACAGTCCTGACACAGTCAGCAAGAGCTTCAGAGAATACCAGGAATGTAAAGGATTCTTCTAGCTTCTCTCATAAAGAGAAATGCAAATTTAGGTAAGAGTGAGCTACTGTGTTTTACTGATCAGATTGGCAGAGAGCAAAGGTTGGCTATCTCCCCATGTGGGTGACGATGTGGGGAAACAAAATGCTGGTACGTGCCTGGGAGGAAGGTGGATTGGTACAACTTTTCTATGACAGCACTTTGGCAATCTTGGTCACACTTCAAAATGCAAACACCCTTTGATGTAGCAATTCCTCTTCTAAGAATTTAGCTTATAAATACCCACACCTTTGTGAAATGACCTGAATATAAAAGTATTCGGTGCAGCACTGTGTGCAATAGCAAATAACTTGAAATGACTTAAAAGTCCATCAGCATGTATTTATAATAGAGAATCATTGTACATCCACCTAACACTTGATGGGTACCGAAAACACAGAACAAACTCTGAGATACACTTTCAAGTACATAGAAGGTGAAGGGATCCATCAACTTGCTCATGAAACATTTATTGTTTTGTTAAGCATGGATCTATCAGCTGCATGCAGTTGGCTAAAATCCATTTGGGGAGGGGTTTTAGATGAATGTTTTGTGCAGGATGAATTTTTGTTTAGTAATAGTAACAGCTTTATTGAGATATAATCCATCTATGATGAAATTCACCCTCTTAAAGTATGCAATTCAGTGGTTTTTTTTTTTTTT